GTTACAGCTTATCTGTACGGGTCACTTGATAATGAAATTTACATAAAAATCCCTGAAGGATTTAAAATGCCTGAAGCATATTCAAAATCTCGAGAAATGTACTCAATCAGATTACAAAGATCTTTGTACGGTTTAAAGCAATATGGGCGCGCATGTGGTATAATCGCCTCAGTGAATATTTGCTGAAAGAGGGTTACATAAATGATGTTATTTTTCCATGTATTTTTATAAAAAAAAAATGGCTTCAGAATTTGTTATACTTGCTGTTTATGTTGATGACATAAATCTTGTTGGAACTCCAGAAGAGCTCCAAAAGGCAATTGAATATCTTAAGAAAGAATTTGAGATGAAAGATCTTGGAAAGACAAAACTTTGTCTTGGTCTGCAAATTAAACATTTAGCAGACGAGATCTTTATCCATCAATCTGCTTATACAGAAAGGGTCTTAAAACGCTTTTACATGGACAAAGCACACCCATTGAGTACACCAATGGTTGTTCAATCACTTGAAGTGAATAAAGATTTGTTCTGACCTCCAGAAGAGGATGAGAAACTCCTTGGTCCCGAAGTACCCTATCTCAGTGCAATTGGTGCACTAATTTATACGAAGACAATGTTGCATGCATAGCCCAATTGAAGGGAGATTTTATAAAAGGAGATAGAACGAAGCACATTTCACCAAAATTATTCTATACACATGATCTTCAGAAAAATGGTGACATTGATGTGCAACAAATCCGTTCAAGTGACAATCCGGCAGATTTATTCACTAAATCTTTACCAACTTCAACTTTTGAGAAGATGGTATACAAGAAGAATGCAGAGACTTAAATATTTGAAATAAGGTTTTCATCAGGGGGAGTAAAATACGTGATGTACTCTTTTTTCCTTACTAAGGGTTTTTCCCACATGGTTTTCCTTATAAGGTTTTTAATGAGGCAGCTAACAATGCGTATTACTAAATATGTGTACTCTTTTTTCTTCACTAGAATTTTAATGAGGCACATTATCTTTTAATGAATATCCAAGGGGGAGTGTTATAAATATATTATATTATGGATGTTCATTTAGTAATCCGTTGAAAATAAGCTTCCTGAAGAAGCTTATCCATATGAGACTCCGCCGTAAATATGTTTATCTATTTAGTACTCTATTGAAAATAAGCCTCCTGAAAAAGCTTATCCTTTCGGTACTCCGTTATGGATAAATATTACACATGGTAGAAGATTATCTATATCTGGCACAACAGCTTAGAGTAGCAGCTTACACAGCAGCTTACAAGCAACTTACACAGCAGCTTGCAGCAGCAGCTTACACAGCAGCTTGCAGTAGCAGCTTACACAACAACTTCCTTTCTTCTATAAATAGAGGAGAATTCAGTTCATTATGTACATAAGTTTTAAGTTTGAATAATATATTAGTTTCTCTTTATACATGTCTTTACTTTACTGTCTTTATTTTATAACATTTTCTTTATTTTAGGGCTATTAAAGTCTAGAATCAAAAGCATTATTAGAACGGAAGCAAATCCAGAAAATTAAAGGGGTAAAATGTTTGTTATTACCCTACTGATCATTTAAAATCTTTTAGGATCGTTTCTGAACAAATGTGAACCCAACTAAGTTAGCGGAAGAATTATATAACCAGATACTATGGATTGCTCAAATTTTCCTAAAACCCGCAACTGCCCCGCAACCGCGTTGAGTTTAACAAAAACAATATTTCAACCCACCCCCGCCCCGCCCCACATAAGCTGAAAGCTGCACTGCCACGTACCCGCATCGCCCCATTGCCATCCCTATCAGTGAGTTCGGAGCCGTTAGATTGATTTTGAGGGACGACTGGGATTGATTAGGGACAAAACGTGGTCGTTTGGTACTAAAAGGGGATGGGCTGGATATAGGGACTGGGCTTGGGGCGGATATGGAACTTGGGCCACCGAAAATGTCTGGCCCAGACGAAATGCATGCCTAAAAGCTCACCTTCCTTTTGGCTTTTTGCACAATTAATCACTTTTAATTAAACAAACACATCAAACGTAATTTGCAAGATTAATCTCTCCATTTGTTTCAACCTGAAATTAAACTAATTAAATTACTTGTATTAACAAATTGATTAACTAATTGAAACTACAGATGTGAAAAGAAAGAAGAATGGCTAAATGTATTTTTTAGGATTTTTATTTTATGAATGCAATTAACATGTGACTAGGTGCTAATGATGCCACAAAGTATGAAATGTAATTAATAAGATAAAATATTTCTGTCCCCCCTTTTTTATGATTTTTAAAGTATTTCTAAATGCGTGAAAAATGCAAATAAATGCCAAACAAATCACTTAAAAATAGAGAATTTTCTAAAACTCTATAAAGCAATTAAGATTTTTTTTTTTGGTTTGTTTTAGGAGTAATTTATACATGGGGCAAAAATTACGAGCTCACTTTGACTGTCTAGATTGAATTCTACATATTTCCAGCTAGTCAGGGGTACGAACAAAATTGTGAAAAAACAAAAACCAAACACTGTTGTGGCAGGAACCGTCTCCCCAACACAAGTGCAAAAAGATTCAGAGAACCCTTGAGAAACTGTTGAGAGAGATTCTTCCCGAGCATAGTAATACGAATTTGCATTTGCTTTATTGCATAAAAATGTATATACATTGTCGAAAGAATACAGTTTCTGTAGATGCTCTGCGCGTTTCGAATATTGCAGAAATGAAATCTCCACTAGAGAATGCGCCTCTTGGAATCAGAGACTTGTAACGAGCCACATAAGATATTCGTTACAAAAGCTTGCAAAACTGCTTGCGAGCCACATATAATGTACTCGCTCTTGCTAAGCCTAACTCGCTCTCCATCCATATGAATATATGTAGTTATGTCAGTCTAGTATGTCAGTGTCCGTATGTTGATGCAGTTAGAAAGAATTATAACCACTCCTTTGTTGGCGTCCTTCTCTTTCATCCACAAGCCCAGAGCAAAAATGAGCTTGGTTGCCATGTTAGAGCCAAGTGGTTCACAAATGGTGTCAAAAAGTTCTTCTAGCCAAGATGTGTTATCCTCCCAGTGTCTTTTGTTTATATCCGTGTTTCATTCTTTCGAGTAGTTTCTCTCTTGTCTTTCTTTTCTTGTCCATTTTTTGCCTGTATCTCTCTTCTCTCTCCCTTTCATATATCCCCTGCCAATATACCTCTCCCGTTAAAGGCCACAACCACGTTTCATATGGATGGACATTGTCATCAGCAGCTTCTGCCAAGTCTTCATCCATACTCTTCAACAATGTTATGTTGAAGTACTTTGCCCACATATATCCTTTTCGCTGCTCAATGGGGTGCTGCTCTTCCAGCACGCCTGAGTGAGGATTAATGTAAACCATCTGCCGTGCACTGTGATAGGCCCAGACATTCACCAACAGTTCCAAAACCCGACAGTAACAGTGCTGCTTCTGTTGGTCGGAAACAATCAAACATAAGAAGTCATCCTTCTAACCTGCATTACTTTGTACCAAATGTAAACTTATACTAATGCAACTTATGTCTATAGGCTTACCTCAAATGTCGAGATTGCCAGTATACAATGAGTCCTATTGTTTGAATTCACGTGCAAACCATCCAGAGCATCGACAAACATCCTGGAATTCAAACCATTTCAGTTCAAATATACAATTCATATTTCAAACTCGAATATATAATAATTTATGCAAGTAATGTGACCCACTGCTTAATTATGTTTGTTGCCTAGATTACCTGGAAAACATAATGAACTCCAGAAACGAAGAGGTTGGCATAACCCAGCTATGCAGTGCTGACCATCTCCCACCATCTTCTGGCATTGGTGGGAGAGCTTCTATATGTGACGGTAAGCCATACATTCTACGAAATGTGTCTTGGAAAGCAGTTCTGAAAGAATGTTAAAGAATGAGAGTTAGCTGAGACAACTTTGAAAGGACAATTTCCATTAAAAGAAAAAGTACACCCGTCTCTCTGCACATAAGGTGAAGATATTTATTCAGAAGTGCAGGGTGCAAAATTTCCAGTTTCCTGTTTAACTCTCTTCTTTTAACATAGTACATTCTAGGACATGAACTTCTGAAATCTCCAATTTTCAGCTTCTTGGATTTCAGAATATGAATTCTATTATAGTATTCGATATTAGATGAAGCTAAATAAATGGATCATTCATCCAAATTTCTGTAACAGAGATCTAGATTGTTCAAAATACAAGAAATCTATCCACCAACAAGGGAAGGAGAAAGTGCTAGCAGAAATGAGTAATGTTGAAATAAATCAGTCTGTTCAAACCCACTGTACACCACGTAATACCTGCAGTTGCCTCCATTCAAAATATCGCACATTGACCAGAAAGTAAGGGCATCATTGTTTCCTGTAAACCCACCATCCACATCCAAATGTGCCCAATAGTATATTACATCACCTTTAGCCTTTGCCTGTATTGTTTCTTCTAGGGCCAGCTCAGCATTTTTAGATAATGAAACCTGATACATTAGTACAGAAGCCAATATGAAACTTATTAACAAGAAAAGAGTACATAGAAGATTGTGTGTGAATATGACAAGGCCAAGTTTAACATTACAACAAGTACAAGTTCACGCATCAAAGATTCATCAAGAACTAATAACATACTTTTCTAGCCGTAGCTCGCCATGACTGAAATCCAATCCAGGGTCGCTTATGAATATTATCTAAATGGTTTGCAATTGAAAACATGCCACCCATCTCACAGAGGATATTCCGATAGTAGGTCTCATTCAAAAGGGTAAGCCGGCCAACTGCATCAACATCATCTGACCTCGATCTCCGTGCTTTAGTTGACTAAGAGAATATACCATAGTTAGAACCAAAGAAACTAGAGATGTAACATAATGAAGTAAATAAAAGCTAAGGGAATGTACTTAATCTGCATTAGCCGATATGAATAACATATATCATTGTATTCTAAGAAACTTCATTTAATATTTCTGTACAAAGAGACCAATAAAAAGGAAAGGAAACCGTAAGAAACTGAAACACAGAGAATAAGCAACAGGAACTCACTAGGCTCAATCCACGGTACAAAGAGCCATGATGCAAAAATGGCCATGCTCCAGCTCCATTATAAACCTCATAAATGCATACTGGTTGCCCAGTCCTTTCCAGCTCTCCTTCATCCCTCTCATTAGTTTCAAAACGAAGCTTTTCAGCTTTTCGAGCATTACGATATATTTCATCCCACTCACCAATGTCCTTTTCCATTCTTTCCTCAATCTACATATTGAAAAAACATGCTCAACAGATCTTGCATCAAAGGGAATTCAAGAAAAATAAAACCATAGACAAGTAAAGATCTGCCTTCTCTATTTTTTTTTAGTTATGGTAGTGTGGAATGGACCGGGGAAGACTACTTGTCAGTAGAAAGTATTATCATACCTCCTCCATCTCCAGTCTATTTACTTCCTCAGAACGCTCCATTTCATTCAAGATGTCCCAATCCAACTCACTTGGAAAGTCCTCTAAAGCCTCTGAATTATCTCCAGAGACATTCATCAAAGGAACAAAACCTGTCATGTCTACTTCAAGGTCATAAACAACACTGGAATTTATTGGATCCACATCCTTTACTTGAAGATCTTCTATGTCATTACTCTTCTCTACATCCTTTTGAAAATAACCCCACTCCCATGAGCCCTGCTTAAGCTGAGAAGTGTCTCCTGGAAGGATGACATCAGATGGGAAATTTATGACATTCTCCAGCAGCTTTGCGTACCCTGTAATGCATTCAACTGCAAGCATGTTCTTGGAAAGCAGCCTCCCAGAAGATGCAATAGTGCGAGCGAATCTCGTGAGTTTTCCATTAGATATAAGTACTGAGAAATCTTGCACCAATGCATTGGACTTGTGTTTAGAGAAGATGATTCCATGAACTTCATCAACAACCTGGATACAGAAAGTTCTTCAGGAAAAGACAAAATAAGTAGCAAAGTATTAATCGACTTACAAAGGTTGTCAATAATAAGATTAATCTACTTACATATTTCTTAATGACAGGGTGGTCCGGTGCAACAATTGGTATCCCAAATGACATAGCTCGTATCAGGATCGGAGGAAATTCTTGTTCGTATTGAGAGGAAGAATAGAGGACAATGTCAGCAATCAGTATAATACCATTAACATCACCCTTCATGTCATGGTGTGAAAGAGATCCCTCACGAAGTCCCAGACGAGTAGCAATATCCTACAAATTTTGAGACATATAGTTGTTTTTATTTTATGGCATAAGATAATAGTCAGTAAACCACACATTACTGCTACCACAAAATGTTGTGAAGTGAAGCATCACTCAATGTCACTAGAACTTTCATCTCAACCAAACAAATAACACAGTAAAGCACTTGCAAGAAATGAAGACATAGAAAAATGGAAAATGCATCTTATAGATGAAAAGAAGGATGAAAATTTCAGGTAGGCACCTAAAAGAACAAAGCACTTTAAAGTGTACACTCAAGAGAAAATGATTTAGAATTTCCTCAGCTAAAAGAGTTTCAGTTGTTATGCTAACGTATACCTAAGAAGCTTTATCCTTTTTACAGTTCAAACAACAAAACTTTTTTAACATCGAAATGAAACAATAGTGAAGCAGAGAAAGGCGAAGGTAAGCCATAATAAAGAGTGAAACAGAATGCAGAAATTAAGAATTACTAACACAGCATCAGTGTTATCAAAGGCGAAAAGCGCAAAAAAGGTCTAAGGTCCGTTGGGGCTTTAAGCGCAAATAAAGCGTGGGCTTTAATGAAAAAAGGCGCAACGGGAGAAAAAAGTTAAAATATGCATGTAGTCCAAGACTAATCATTATAAGCATGAATAACAAATATATGGACAAAGAAAATGAAAAAAGATTCACGATAAAGTGAAATATCAATTGTTTAAGGTCGACTTTTCAGGATTACACTCATTGGTAAGGAAAAGTATGCCTTAGAGCTTTGATGCGACACTAAAGCGCCCACAAAGAGAGGCGAAGCGCTCAACGTGTTTTGAGCCTCTCGCTTCAGGGCTTAATAAGCGCGCCTTTGACAACACTGCACAACATTCAAGACTTTTACCTGCAATGCCTCATTATACCCATCACTGGAATTTCCTGACACGAAAACGAACTTCAGTCTCTCTTCAACATCGCTACTTCCAGCAAATTTGAGTAGCAAAGGTTCTATATCATGAATAGACAAAGCATAATCCCAAGACAGCTCATTGTAGAGAATGGAACTTCCAACCACCAAAACCAAGAGATCATCTTTGTCAAAACCATATTCCTCCCTTAACTGAGATTTTGAATGTCTCCTATTATAACTGTCAGCAGCCCAACTGTCTTTTGGTGATCCGGGGATCACAAAGAAGTTTCCAGAGTCGAGCCCACTATATAACATCTAGAACAGGAGAAATGCAATGGTTGAGTACATGAAAAGCTTGATGAGCACTAAGAATTCTGAAAAGAAAAAAGAACTCAGAACAAAAAACAGAGAAGAATATTGCATATACCGGCAAAGAGTAATCTGGAAATACAATAACATCAGCCCTGCGAAAAGCATCTTTCCAATGAGAAATAAGACGTTCCCAGCCCATGTTTTCATAGAGACGAAGGCGACTTGCTAGAGTATCTTGTTGAATTATCCATACGAGGGGGACAGAGCAAAAAGGCTCCTGCATAAGGCTGCATAAATATAGAACTCACAAACCAAAATATCTCAAACAAAATATAGAGAATGCAAAAAAAAATTTAAGTTCAAGATCTAGATTCATATTTGCTATGTGGCCTCCCTGTATTGCCTAGACATACCCATGTCAGGCAGGAGTGACATGGATATGGTACTTCGTATGCATCATTTAGAGTACATCAAGAATGTAGCGTTAAAAAATGGACATACTAGTGCTGACATCGTCTGATAATAATATAAAGTCCGTTTGACCATTAGGATTGATTTATTCTGACATCTTATAGAAGCGTTCTTCCTTCAAACGTTATTGTGACACTAGGTTCAAGCATATTTTCTTTTAGGTTGTACAAGTCAGCATATGCACTAGTAATGCTTAAAACTCTTGCAAGAGAACAAACTTCAGAATAGAGGACAAGGATACTGTAAAGAGCACTCATTGCTCGTACATGTCACATTAAAATAGCTAAGATTTCCGTAATAGCATCAGATTCAGAAGTGAATATCATGTGAGCACTATTTACCAATAACAAACAGAATTGTGGGTTTGACCTTCTATTTTCAAGAAGTTCCTTTTATTTTGCAGATAAACTGAGTGAAAGTTATCCAGAACAAAGCAAGTCTTCAAATTTCCAAGCTCCAAGCCCAACTCTAGGTAATTCCAATTGTGAATTTCTGACCATTTTTAGTTTTAATAATTGGACATATCAGCTCGCTTTTTTGAGAAGTTGGACATATCAAGTCACCTAAAATAACCACTTCTCAATTGAAATATGCATGATTAGCGAATAATCTGCTAGAGTAATGAAAAGTAAGCTTCATCTAACAGGCTAGCCATACCTTGATATAGCATTTTTATCTTCAAGTGAATCGGCAATAACACCATCAAAACTGCACAAATGAAAATGTAGGAACTAATATATACCAAGCTAATTAAGAGTAGCGATAGAAAGTTACGGAACTGGACTGTCATGAGGATCCAAGATGGCAAAGCATGCTTACATTGACCAGTCAATGAGATCATATCGTTCAGCGGTTAAAATTGATACTTGCCCTCCTATTTCTTCCCATATGGACCTCGCAATGCCATCCTCCACAGCATATATCTGCAAAGAAGAGTTTTAAGTGGGATATATGCATTATGCACCACTATCAAACAAGGTGCGTCACAACTTAGATCTGGAGACCATATTTCGCGCCCATCTTAGCTTAATCCCAAGTTTTAAGATAGAACAAATGTCTTATAGACATATTAAAATGTCCATAATTAGATACGTGATGCAATTTTCATTTAGAAGATACAGATGGGAGAAAGAAAAGTAACCATAAAAAATAAGAATGACTATAACTCAAATTAGAAACAACAACAACAACAACAACAACCCAGTATAATCCCAATAGTGGAGTCTGGGGAAGGTAGTGTGTACGCAGACCTTACCCCTACCCTGGGGTAGAGAGGTTGTTTCCGATAGATGCTCGGCTTCCTCCCTCCAAGAACTCCCCACCTTGCTCTTGGGGTGACTCGAACTCACAACCTCTTGGTTGGAGGTGGAGGGTGCTCACCACTAGAGCAACCCACGCGTTTGAAATAGAGTAAAACAACCCAAAATTTGTCCTTATAACTCAAACTAGAAACTGTAAAGTAAATGGGGAGAACAAATGATAGTATGGTTCCATTTAAAACCTAATTCCACAAATATGCCAGATCAGTCCCCTCCCAGCTCCAAGAGAAGAACCTACTTCTATTTCCCCCAACTTTAAGTGTATTAATCTCAATGGGGCACGTTAACCCAGTTCTCAGCCCAATTACTTCACATCCAAATTTTCACTCAATCGTAAATAAAAGTTGGTCATATATGAATCTCAAATAAAATTTTCAGGTAAAAACAATCTTTTTAGCTGAAATACCATCTGAAATATAGAATAGTTGCAATGTATGCTTCAAGTTTTAATCTCTATAGATAGTACATATATAGGATACAGCAAACAGATATTATAATTTAAAGTTTCCAGAAATTACCTTAATCATATAGCCTAATCCCCGTAAGTTCTTCACCACAGTAGACAGCATCAATGACAGTGGGTCCTTTTTCATGTTTCCTAAGACCTTACACAATCAAATTGAAGCATGGTTAAATTTGTGAAAGCTAGAGAGACCAATGGCAAAGTGCATCTCGATATAGGAAGCAATACGGAGGATAATATAATAGAATATGAAGGAAACCAACTAAAAAATGGAGGCTTGATTCTCAACCATTTTATTTTTGAGAAGGGATTCTAAACCCACAGTCTTTTCTCTATGCATTTTAAAATTAGCAACCGGAAAGGCATAATCCATGTAAAATAAATTCATTCATATCTGCTAAGATTGAATAACAGCAGAAACCAGGTAAAGATCACAGGTCGTGAATATTGAGCAAGAGGGGATCTTATATATTCTTAAACATGTCAAAATGTTCTTCTCATATTTTATTTCACTCATCTTCCTCGATATATAAAAAGTGATGGGATATCCCCCAAATTCAAGAAAACACTAAAATTATAGTTCCAGACTAGTAAAGAAATGGTGCCACTATCACAATTCACGCGACGGTATGAATTTCTTAAGTTTGAATCATCTGCCATCATCTCCAGATCTCTAAATCTCTAGTACAAACTGCAGTTCCATGCATCTAGATCTTACAGGTTCAACCAAAAAGAAAAAAGAAATACAATCTACAAGTAATGCTTATTGGCAATTAAATCATTGATTTGATGTGCATGACACCAATTTCTTTTTTTTTTTTTATTTATTTATTTATTTTTTTACTTTTTTTGGTTTTCCATCCATTACATTTGTGCGACTAGAGGTTACAAGTCAGAGGAATAATTCCAAATGCATTGTTTGTAAGTAAACATGAATGTGATAGCACTCATACTTACCAAAATAAAGCATTTCGTATTCATGAAGCAAACTGATCTGTAAAACATATTTTAAATTGAAATTTTAAACACGTATCATCCAATTGCTTTCACATTGACGTGAAAAACCATATCTATAAAATATCAGGTTCATATAAATTTGTCCAAGCTCTATCATTCAGTTACTCCCCTTAGTTACTCTCTTTCGGAAATACAATGAGCAATGGAAGTTCTTTTTTTTTATGGCAGTGATGCCGGGACCAGCTTGCGCTCACCTTTACTATTTCATGTTACGTTCTGCCTCCCACCAGCACAGGTACCGAGCAACTCTGTCTAACTAAAGCTTAGGCAAATGGGAAGAAATCACCTGGCATATTTTTGCCTCTACTGGGATTTGAACCTGAGACCTTATAGTTTTCCTCCCACTTTATTGACCACTAGACCACACTCTTAATGCTAGCTTAGTAATCATTGACTAAGGTGGTTGCATTACCATATGTTTATGTAAGCGCTTAGCCTATACTAAAAAATAAGTTTCAGTCTCTTGCTATGTTGTTGTAATCTTTATACTATTAGATAGATTGACATCAGAGTTCTCGCATCTAGTAGCCCTTATATAGCAATTGCAAACATCCAACTTATAGCCTATCAATAGGCTAGTCAATATCAGTAGGGGCCTCTTTCCTAACGGATTCAGCCCAAACATGGACAATGATAGGGTTACCAAAGATCTATGAAGAGAGAGAGAGAGAGAGAGAGAGAGAGAGAGAGAGAGAGAGAGAGAGAGAGAGAGAGAGAGAGGTGGGCTTGGGGACAGACCGCATCATAGCTATTCTATTCCTTCTGTACTACAGTTCGGTGGAGGAATTAGAAGAGAACAATTTCAATCCCAGCTCTAACAGAGTGTGCATGAGCAGCGGGAGTTCTTCCGAGACATAAAAATGTTGTATCAAAGAAGAGAACTCTAATTTTATCCAACAATTGAGCACGATCATGTAAGTATCAACTTCTGCATTGACTTCCTAAATCTTCATTTGGAATTTTACCACAAATTAGTTATCTGGTTAAATTTAAACTTGCTTTCTTCCACATCTTTAAGTGATCGCTGTAGCTTCCTGAGTTCTTCTACAGTAATTCTAAAATAACTAATAAGCAATTCGCATACTTAAACATAAACACAAGGCAATATAGAGTTTCTTACTAGCGCAATCCGAGGAGGCCGAACACCAATTCTAGGCTGATTCCTGAGCAAGTCTAAGCCATTACGAAGCTGAAAGCTCCGCTGTTGAACAAACTCCAATGAACTCCCTAACTTCAAATCATCTCTAACGGACCACCGCCAACGAGCTCTCTCATTCCCTTGCTTTAACACCGACATGATTGAACTCTGTAACACCATAGACGCTAACGCAAACACAAAAATAACCAAAAATATGCACAAATATAACCACGATCTCTCTTTAAAACAATAAAAAATCAGCTTCCTAGAGTAAGATCGGTTATAGTGATGGTGATGATGATGATGAGATCGTGCCGCTGTTTTCCACTGCCGATCCGGAGATAACGTCGGCGACGGCAGCGGAGGTGCCGGTTTATGTGAATTTCTCTTGAAGCGAAAACGGTCACGGATCGAGTGAAATCCACCGCTGGAGTTGATGGCATTGTCATCGTTATTATTGTCGTCGCCGGAACTCGCCGAGCAACGGCCCATTGTCATTGTTAATTAATCGGCGAGTATTTGATTCAGTGAGTTGTATTTGGAATTTGGCATTGAAAAGAGTGAGTGATTTGAATCGGATAAATGGCGAAGTGTGAAATGTTAGAATTCTGTTTTTCGTTTTGCTTACACAACTTCTTCACTCGTTTTTCTGTATCTGACTGTGATTTGCTGAGAAAATGACAAAAAAGGCCTCCTTTGTTAAAAGTGAGAACTTTTAACTATTAACTTTTAAAAAAACTCCAAAATATAAAAGATTTATTGGAAATTCATATTTGGAGATTACTTTTGTATTTTTAGTTTATTTATGTTTCTAGTGCAATTTTTTTTGTTTCTCCGGTCCATATTANAGCTTCGTCTATCGATGAACAGCGGATTGACGGAGCTCTTGGCATTGCTTTGTTTTTCTCTCCTTTCCTATCAGCGAGTTCCGACCCTTTTGTTCGAAATTTCTTCGCATATTAGTTGTCGTAGTTACTAGATATATCTGGTCCAAAATTGATCTCATTTTAGAAATTCAGGTATAGTTTATTATTTTTTCCATCTTGCCTTAGCATTATTGAATGATTAAAGATATAAATAATTATAATTAAAAAGTTTTTCTTATTAATTATTTTTTAAGGATATATAAAAGAAAGACACACAATTAAAATGGATCATAGCAAATGTAATTGACTAATTTCTGCTATATTTTGTTTATTTTTCTATGTTAAGTGTAGTTTTTTAAAATATAATTTATTTTATATTTTATAGGGGGTTTTCTGATTTTCTTCTTTTTATTTTAGTTTCTTCTTTTGTTTGAATTGAACAAACAACGTGATGAGATGATCTGTGGGCTCTACGCGCTTTGCCGGCGGGAAATTATGGTCAGAATTATTAAATGGGTATAACTGAAAAGTTATAGAATTACCATTTACGGAATAGATGTAGTAAATGAGGAAAAAGAAAGAATAAAGATGTCTAAATAAAAATCTATAAAGAGAAAATGATCATTAATCTTTTCTTGTACAGATTTAAATTAGAATGAAAGGAGTAATTATTGCGATTCATAGTGTTAAATTGCTTATTTTAGTACAATTATTGGGTTCCAATTGAAGTTAAATTTTTTGTGTTATTTTAGTCAACAATTTAATAGCGATGGACCTTCGTTATTTCCATATCATGATAATAGTTTGTTAAAAAACGTGAATACCATTTACGTTCTGTTTTTGTCACATTTAATGTGAAAAAGAAAGTACTTTTGCCATTAATAATTGGAAGAAAACACCATTAAAATTATAACAGGAAAACATAACATGGAAAAATGTTGCGTATTTCAAAATATTATAGACGATTTTTGTGATTCAGTTTATTAGATTGCCGAATATTTTGGGGTATTTTCAATTTCGTGTAACAAATACAAAATAAATTTCTTTAAAAATACATAAAGAGGTACTTTTATTTGTTTTTCAATCCTCTCAAAAGATTGCCTTAATGAATCACAAGGGAAAAAGATAGAGTATAATACAATATTGACCGGACAACTGAAACTAATTGTATTCGCTAATAAAAAAAATATACTATAAAATATGTATATTATATGTATACAATACGCATATATAAAAAAACACATTTTGCCGCTATTATTTTTGGGAACGGTTAAAAATACATATTTCTCAAAAAAAAAAAATGACCCTGAGCCTTAATGCTTAAACATGTGATTTGGAATATAAGAAGTTAGATTAGTGTTGGATTGTGACTGTTTCTCATCGACACATTGTAGATTATGCTTTCTCTTAGAGTCTCATGTGTCCTTGAAAAGAAAATCATTCTCTGCTTATTACTGTTTGACACTTGGATTATGCATTAATTATTCAAAGTACTTTACTAACTTCTATGTAATTATAAATTGATGTCACATGAAGGAATTTAAAGCTTTTAACCATTTTTAGGATCTCAATAACTATCTATCCTTTTTTTCCCTCGGGTACTTTATTTCAGTTTTTTTAACTTTTATTTGCAAATATCTACTTCACTCAAGATTTAACATGTGGAATACAAAGAAATGTGGAATGAAATGGGCAGCATAGTGCACAAAGCATATTGCGTTCACGCAGGTTCCGGGAAGGGCTGTACCTAAAGGGTATAATATAGTAAGTCTATTCTAATGCAAGTATAATAGGCTGATTCTACAGCTTGAACCCGTGACCTATAGATCACACGGAGACAACTTTACCGTACTTTTAGTTATCTTCTTTAGTAATTTCACCGCATCAAAAATTTATCGCTCCACCTTTTGACCTTTTATTTGAGATTTAATGTTGCATCTAGATTTTTTTAAGAATAATCTTGTGAGTTAACAGAATTTTGTCAAACTATTTTACCATTAGATGTGCTCTAATTAGATAAGTCATAGGAGTATTACAAACTAATGGCTGCTTATTGCATGGTTCACTTCTAGTTGAATAAGATTTAGTAAATGGATAATAAGAAAGATAATATACTCTTGTGCTTAAATTGACTGCCATTGCACAATAAAATCACAGCTTCTGAAATGAAGCAAAGCTTATTTAAGCACCAAGAGAAAACCCATAAAAGACAGATGAAAAAGAGGAAGAGAAGCAGTGGTGGAGTAAGTTACTTCACTACAACATATAACTAATGTTTATTCCTATAAACGTATCATACAACTTGTGTGGTCATACTACAAACAACTACATCTAACATTGCATCACTTATAGCAAATTATTGGCTTGTTACAATTATAACATGTATATAGTAAGTATATGCAGTGGCATCCACTTCATTCTTCGTCTGGATAAGCTTCAAGAAATTCCCTAATTATTAGCCTTTCGTCTGAAGTAAGATCAGGGTCATCACTAGTGAGCCTATTCCGAACTGCTGCACTGATGCTGTCTGGATTGTCGTCAAGAACCTGCTGGCACATCCAAGTTGAACATTGATTAGACGCAACAGACAATAACCGTGAAGCCAAAGGATAGAAGCTCTATTGAAAGGTTGGAGAAAAAATAGACACTGACTTTTTGAGCAGTTACAAGTATAGAGAACTGCTGCAGCATATGTATGTATAATGAGATGTCCAGTGAAAAGTATGGATAATACTATCTATCTAGTTTCCAATATCTGGTTTAGATCTGCTCTAGTCAGTGTTTATATCTTGTGCCTCAGATAAAGACATTTTGACACGAGAATAATATAGTAACACACCGACTAATGAAACAAGAAGTCCAAAATAACAAAGGCATAAGTAGGAAGAAATGATAGAACATGGCACCTCTTTCTCTAAAACCAAGCGAAATAGGTTCCTTACCTTTACATAGTTGTTGATATGTCCATCTTTGTTGGGAGAAGTGATGGGCTCAAATTCATTGCATGTCCATACACCATCAACAATGTACTTGTATTCATAGTGTCCTTCCTGTTAATGGAGAGAAATTAGGATTGACAACCTTTACAAAACATTTGTTGTATGTTCTCCAATTGATTTATAACAATATGTACTTTTAATTGTTAATAATTAATAATAGTATATTCTTTAGATTGTTTTGGAATAATTTCGTGAAAATTGATTGTTAGTGCCAGCATTCTAACACGATGAACCATGGGATATATGGCATGTTTGAAGTTAAAAAGATTCAGTAGGTTGTGGTGTTTCTATAATTCTATTTTCATCATTATAAGAAAGGAAGAAACACTTCAAGCCTAAAACAACATACTTACAGGCAAATCCCTCTGGAGAGTCCACAAACCTCGTTCCTCATCAAATTCCAAGGATATTCTCTGAAAACATTATAATAAGAGTTCTTAAATGAGCTCTAATATAAAGCATGAAATAATGCAAAGTTGCTACAATAATGGAAACCCGTTATTCGTAAAAATGTCCTTCCAAAGTAGTATGAGCTCTTACTAAATTGAGGATAGGGAATGTGATTGTTATGGTATAATTCTACATTGTAACCGGTGAACTGATCTTTGATAATTTAAAAGACAAATTTATTGAGACAATTTTCTCAAAAATATACGGTAACTCTCATCTGACAATTTATATATATTTTTATTTTTAGGATTATCGGGCTTCATTATAAAACTGCAGCAGCATATTCTAGTGTCTTAACTGAAGTTGAAATTTGAAAAAGATGAACTTCAATATTTTCTAGTCAGCTAAAAGAACTGTCATACATTCTGAAGAAAATGACTAATACTATTAGTGAGACTTGACTATTACCTGGCCCCAGCCAATATCAAGTCCAGATATTTCCACTGTACTACAATCATCACCAGACCATGTCAATGTGGCAGGCTTCCTTTTAAGGCCTGTAAGCTTTAAAGAGGAAGATACTTAGTCAGGAACAGAAAAGCATCTATGAGAATAACCACCTAGCATAATCGGAAAGAAGAACGTGAAATGAAATATAGAAGTAAAGGTAGCTGGGAAACAACACTGTTTGCAGAAGACATATCTAGCTAAAACAAAGATGAAAAGCCTTTTGTGGTGTTGTAAAATATTGTAACTAAATATGTAACTAAACGTACATTATGCAACAAATATTACTATAAAACATAGTTTCTTTTCTGCACATTATAGCAGGATTGACCTTTCAATTCAATTTACTAAGTGATAAAGTGCAATATATATTACCATGCATCCCACACCAACACCACAAGCCACAAGGGAACTATGGGAATGATAAATTGTTAAAACAACAATAAAACTCACAATGTCTGCTGTGGCACTTTTGATGGCATCTAGTTTTGGAAAGCAGGAGCGCTTGCTCTGCAAAATAATAGAAAAAACTTGGTGAAGATACGTAAACTCCAGTTTATAAAAGGGAAAAAATAGAAAAAGGGATCAGCCTAGTTTCAGTGGTTATGGTTCACATATAATATTCCGAGGAATGTTTTATTGCAAAAACCAATAAAACATGGTATAATTCTATCTACAACAGGTAATAATCAACTTCAAAAACTTTGGCTACAGAAGCGATCCACATAAACTCTTTCCCCAAGTCATCACCATAAGGTACTTTAGTGCAAAGACCAATAAAACATATTATTACTCTATCTTCAACAAATGATATCACCATCAAAAGTTTGGCTACAGGAACCTAGAAGACAAACTCTTCTTCGTCAAGGGCCATAATTTAAGGCAATTATTCTCAGAGAACACTTGGAGTTAGCAAGCCAGCGAGCAATAATAATATTTGCAAAAAGTGAAACTACATACCAACATAACAGGGAAACATTACCATGAGTAAATTGAAAGCTTCACCAAGCTTATAGCCTTGAACCCAGAACATATATGTCAACTGCAATTCAAAGTTCCAAACGAATATAAGTTCAATCACAACGCAATTTAGATAAATAAAACAAAATATAGTTCCAGGAAGGTGAATATCTGTAGAAATCTGACACAGTTTGCAATTTCTTATCAAAGATCACGTTCTCCTTAAGTACTACATTAACACATGTTTTTGTTTGCAAGCAAACCTCAGTACTGAAAAACTCTCATTCCTGCTAAGAATTGTTACGAGTCAAAAGCGAAGGAGAAGTCCTTAGGAATCGTTCAGTAAGTCCTAGTTCGTTAAGGAGGACGTACAAGGAGGACTGCCGAAATGACTATGAAAGAGCTTTTGCCGCAAAAGCTTCAGGCTATGTCCCAAGCGCACAAATTCAACTTGTAAATGAAATGCATGGTTCACCACTTAAGAATAGTTATGCAAAAAATAATATTTTCCTGATCCGAGCAAACAACTAACACGTTGAAGACATAACTAAGTAAACAAGTGTACCTCTCTAACAACTTAAACTTTTAGATGAGGTTATCATACAATTCAACATGGAATCAAAGTGGGCAGAGGTACTAAGTTCAAGTCTCACTAGCATCCTTCATTGAAAAGAAGTTTTCACATGCTTGAACCGTGAAAGAGAATTTAATTAGAACGTGAGGGGTGTGTTGAAGATATACTTGAGTAGATAAAGTGTCATCTCTAACTGCTTAAACTTTTGAATGAGGTGATCCCACGACTCAACACATGAAATCGGCCAAAAGGTCTGATTTGAAGTATGACCAGCCATTGAATGGTCTCTTCTCCTACTTGTGTGCAGCCTGCAAGCACCAGAGAGGCCATTGTCCAAGACGATTCACCCGACATCTTTGAGGTTTAGAAGAAGGCAGAACATGGACCAATGCACACAGAAGGGACCCCAGACAATGATGAAATTTCGGTGAACTTTTCCACTGCACTTCTACGGCTCTTGCAATCATTAGTTCATTACAAAAACCACAAAGTGGCAAAAACAAAAGATCAAATGCAAGTACAATCACCAGATCAGTATAATAGAGCAGTCACAATGGACTTCTAGCACAAAGCAAAGGCACTGAACTGCTAATTGAAAATCAAAGTAAAGACAGAATCTGCTCAAATTCACGAATTTGGATCAGGTGTTTTCCTAATTGTGGCTGAAAATTGGAGATGGGTACGGAAAGTGTTAGGACTGGGATTTGGAGATGAGGGGAGGGGGAGTGCAGAAAGGAAACTTTTTATCATGGAGTTTGATTCTGTTATTGCAAGAACTTGATGTGTAATGCTGCAATGCTCCAGGGCAGCAATGAGTGTTAAATTTGGAAAGGAGTGATGGGAATTGATTCAGGCACAAATTGAGAGGAGGTCCAGGTGACATAGAATGTTGGAGACGAAGAGACAGGGAGATGAGGTGAGAGGAGCAGAGACCATCAACAGGAAAAGACTGCTACTCTGAAGATAATAATGTATGAAACACACTTATTCAGACAAGGGAAATTGATTGCATCATTTCATATTAAAGAGGATGTAGGCCACTTAGATATTTAAGGTCTTGCATTAAGCACAAGTAACGTATATTAGTGCATCAAAACCCCTGTTTATGGATAAACAAAGAACAAACTCAAGTAAATGAAGAAAAGAACAAGGAAATGCTAAAGTGATAGCAACCTTCTTCTACACAAAAACACAATTCCAGATCTTCCCAGAAGCCAAATCTACATTTATCAATTCAAGGTTGACTGGGAAAAGGTCATTATTCCAGGAGCAAGGATACTGTGCTCTATGTCATTGAAGTGTTGAGAAATGATCCTAAAAATACAAGCAAGAGGGGGAAACTTCCATGTTTAATTAGTACTTTAATGCCATTGCATCTGTCAGGCGACATAGAGAAACTCATAAGCACTTACCGCAACTGCCGGAGCTCTGCCAAGTCCAGCGGTGCAATGTATGTAAGTCACACCCCCATTTCTATTGACGGCCTTGCTCAGTTTGCTTACGACAGCTGGAAGCCGCAACCTCAAATCAAATGCATCAAAATCCCTGCGTCACCAAGCATCAACACAATTAGGAATTAGCATCATGGAATTAACTTTTGGAAATGCCTCGTGGCATCACATATTCTAGAGATTATAAAATTTTATAAATACACATTAGCAAGATGCTTGTCCAATTTTTGGAAAAAACTTTTTCTGTTTTCACCTTAGCTTGGGGTAAGAATGAGAATGCCAAGACATGTCAGACCATGTAATGAAGAACCTCTTTTCTAACATCAGCAAGATAAGGCAGAGTACATTTAGCAAATATTCTCAAAATGAAAATAACTTCATCTTTTAGTACTGTGCACATATGCTGTGATAATACAAGCATATTGCTGCTCGGAATCAAATTCCAATCCTGTTTATTCCTTCTTCATATGGGTTTAAGACAAGATTGCAAAAACAAAATAATTTCACATTGTATAATATTATGTCGTAAGTCTTGTAGACCTAATGTACTTGACACAAAAAGTGCATACACTCTTGCAGTTATATTTATCAGCCATAATAAAAAGTTTAACAATTTTGGTATCTGTAAAAGATTTCCGCAACTGCCAACCAAGCGACTAGGAAATAAACAAGTGTGTTTACTTTAGTGATTGCATTTCTTGCAATTGAAGGAAGAAAGGAACTGATTCATGGGCGATATGGAAAATAAATCTTTTGCAAATGAATGCAAAACTTAGCACAGTAATAAATGTTTTCTTTCTTGTCCTTTAACCTGCTATTTCATGTTCAAAGTTCAAACCAAATCTAGCCTTTAATTTATTTCCGTATAAACCTAAAAAGTAACAGAAAGAAGAACATGCCTTTCTCAATTGCATAAACTCCTGCACTAGTTGTAACATCAAAGAAGTGGTTAACTTTCATACAAATGAAAAGGGATAGATAGAGATACAGAGAGAGACAGTGTGTTTACATTCACAAAACAAGGCACTGCTGCACTTTTTTTAACTTCTGCTAAACTAACCTTATTTCGGCACGCAAGTGTTCAATATCACTGCATTTGTTGACATATTCACGAATTGCACCAATATCAACCCCAAAATATCTAGAGAACACTAATTAAGGACTTGTAAAAAGATGTCGTAGATTGAGGGTGAAATAGATTGGTTGATCCAACATGAAATAAATAATCATGACATATTTTACGGATACTCGAGATCTGGATTTTGCTGCAAGCAAAAAATAGTTTTTACTCCAATGCTGCGAAGCTTGTCCACATCCTCAGGAGTCTGTCAATTTTGTTGGAGTCAAAAAAAGAAGTCAAAAGATCACCTTAAGAAAAGGATAATATGTTCTAAGAAAAAGGAATTACTCGTCACCTGTAGACATGACCCAACAATCAAATCTGGACGGATGAAGTTGTAGTTCATTCCTAACTCATGCCTATAGGTTAAAACTGCATTAAGAAAGTTAGTGACGATATGAGTGTCACACGTAGTAGTTAGTTAATAGAACTCTGCAAAATTTTCTGATTAATTACTGCCTAAAAGAGAATGTCATTATTCCTTGTGAGAAGAACAAGGATTATAAGTGTTTTAATTTCCTTTTTGGGCACTCATTTTGTAATTATGGGTGACTTCACAAATTTAGTGAAGTCTATATATTAATATACAAATATGTTACCTTCTCAAAAAAAAAATAAAAGAGAATGTCATTAAGTTAGATGATCCGGAAATTATGCTAATACAACTGAATCAGGAGCAAACTTGGAGTTGCAGTTTGCGTAAGGAAAGGATCTTCAACAAAGGGCAAGGCAAGAAGGAGAAACAAAGAAAAGTAAATAGTAGAAAAAGATTGTACATAACTTAACCGATTCAGCTAGCATGTAATGCAGCTTTATAAAATTGCCAGGGGCAGGGAGACTAATAAGTTTTCCTTGATAAGTCAAACTAATAAGTTTAATAGCTTTCTTATTCATATCGGAAAGGCATGCACCAGAAAAATACTCAATGTGAAAGAAAATAAGGTTCACAAACCAAAAAATGTGTAGAAAGATAGACGAACCAGCTCCCATGGCTGCAGTCATGTCATTGCTGTATGTATCAGATTTTCCTGCATCCTTCTCTGTTTCACCCTTCTCTGTACTAGATTCAGAACCAGATACAACCTAGAAAGAGAGCAAGAAAGCTAATGCCAATTCAGAAATGGATTTCATAGATAAAAGAAAGAGTAGACAGCGAGAGAGAGGAGAAGAAGCTGCAGTGAACACTTAATAAATGCTACTCCTATAACATATCTGATTTCAACAAGAAGCAGAAAGCATGTTCCAATTTTTTCACAATTTTTGGCCATATTAGGACTTCACAAACTAGCTTTAAGATATGAAAATATGAAATGTTGGATCGAGTTCAAATCTATACTTCCACCTCATAGAAACTTTTAGATTGGAGAGCAGCATTCTTGGAGACTATACCTTTAAAAAAATATGTTAATAGATGAAAACAAAAGCAACACTTTGCCTTGTCACGAAAAGTAAATCATGTCCTTTTTCACATCCATTATCCACAACTGGTCATGCCAGCAAATAAGATTTTTTTGTATTAGCACGCATATAATTGCTACTTCTATTGTCTTATTTCTTTTGTTGAGTTTATAAAACAAGAATATCTGACATCAATATCCATTTCTATGATGGCACCCAAGGGTGTGGATTGCGGTCTAGTGGTCAATGAAGTGGGATGAGAACCATGAGGCCTCAGGTTCAAATCCGAGCGGAAGACAAAATCACTAGGTGATTTCTTCCAATCTGTCCAAGCCTTGGTGGACTGAGTTACCCGGTACTTGTGCTGGTGGGAGGTAGCAGGTACCCCATGGAATTAGTCGAGGTGCTCGCAAGCTGGCCCAGACACCTCGGTTATCTGCAAAAAATCCATTTCTATGATGGATAATACTAGCAAAATTGCTGTAAATTTTGGAAATGACAAAATCTAGATTCGTCCGGTACTTACTGTTAGGTACATAGATGGTTAACAACAACTCCAGAATGTAAAAGGAAGTAGGTTAATCATATAAATAATCTGATCAATCCAAAAAAATGTAAAGTAAAAAGGAACTACCAGTGAATAAGTCATCATTTGCTGATTCAAATCTTACCTGTGCCACAATACTTAGACGCTGATCAGCAAATTTTGTCATCCCCTGTAAATGAAAATGATAAGGTTCAATATTGATCACATGTAGAAATTACAGATCACCACTCCTTCCTTTTCAATTTGTATGACATTTCCTGATGTCCCAAAACGTTTGATACCATTCATTTTACATACTACATTCACAACTTTGAAAATATGTTTTCTCTATCAAACAAACGTTACAACCATTACTTAAATATTTAATTGTGAAATTTAGCACACAAGAAAATATATGCACGGCAAATAATAGCAATCTAAACCTAGCAACAAGAGACAATAATCAACAACAATAAAAAGGAGTAACAAGGACACTAAGATTTTAATGTGAAAAAACCTTCTCAATAAAGGAAAAACCAGCAAATTAATATCACTACAGTAACAAATTTACACTTCAAAATCTCGAGTAAAATACTTAATAGACCACAATACACTTAAAAGAAATAATTCTCTTTTGAATTACACAACTTATTATAACATCGCTCACCTTCTCAATTTTTCTGACAGACTATTTTCTTTCTCACTGTATGTGTAGTGAAATGAGAAGAGCTGCCCCTTTTATAATGGCAAAAGTGTGATCTCTGGAATATGGTACCTGCAAGCATTTTTTGGTGTATTTGGGTCGAAAGGAATAGTAGATGTTTTGATGAATTATCAACTTCAATAGGTTGCTTAAAGGCTAGATGTTTGGTTAATTTGTTTCACTGGGCTAACCTTACTACTGTAAATAACTCTGATGTTTTCTTGGACTTTGTCAGCTCTCTAGTTTTGTAGCGCTTAATTGTAAATGAGCTGCCAAACTCACTTCTTTTGTAACTTTTGCATCTTCTTGATGCCTTTTATGATATATTCTACTCACTTCATCAAAAACAAATGGCAAAAGTGTGATCTCTAACTAGTAGAAAAGGAAAACGAAAAATTCCAAGACTTTGTCACACAAACCAAACTTGGTCCCACTCAATATTATGGCCTAATGGCCAATGAAGTGGGAGGATAATCATGTCTCAATTTCAAATTTTAGCGAACGAACAAAAAAATTCTAGGTGATTTCTTCACTTGGCATGTGCGGAAGCTGGCCCGATTAGTCAATTACTACCAAATGGGGATGGTATGGACCCAATATATTTTTCTTCCAATATGACTAACTAATATAATATACAAATCAAATTAACGTCTGTCCAATCAAATCCAGTCATCAAGTAGAACAGAGAGAGTATCAAAATTAAAAATGACGCAATTAAAGAAATGCAAGAGATCATTACCAGTGAAACAACGGGGAAATAAGGCTTTTTTGTAGTGCCTGTGAAGTTTCTCAGTGATAAACCAGAGGATCTGAGAACCAAATTAAATTGAATTATTAATAGAAAAAAAATTAGAATTTAGCAGAAGAAAATCGAATTCAAACCTGGGAAGATTCTGAAGGCAATTCATTGGGAAATTAATGGAAAAAGCAGAGAGAGGAATATGAATCTGAGTGTAATATAAAACTGTTGAGCAGTGGAAATGAAAACTGTGAACAAACTTATTTAATCAGTGTACAGTGTACTTTAACTTTTAAGTGATATTTTTCTCCATTTTTTGGCGTTTTATATCTTCCAATCAAAACTCAAAAGGCACCTTTTTCAAGATTCTGTATAATACCCTCGGATTTTTTGCTTTTTTCGTAGGGTACTCAGATCTTTTTCTTTTTGTTCGTAGGTTACCAGCTTGGAATTAATCTTTTTTTTTCTTTCCTTTTATAAGTAGTGCAAATGTAAAAGATATATTTTGAATGGATGATAAATTATATACAGTCAAACCTTTTTTTTTTAACAGGTTCGTTTGTTCCAAATATTTTTGTATGTTATACAGAAGTGTTGTTATAGAAAATATATATTATAACATAACATTAAAATTGATTCCGAAAAAAACTTGGCTTTTATATAGTGAAGTGTTGTTATATAGAGATGTTGTTATAGAGAGGCATGACGGTAGTTTGTATATTCCTAATAGATTAGAGGCAAACGTTTTTATTTTATACCTAGCTAGAGTGAGGATTAATTTGGTGATCTCGATTTAAACTAAATAGTCTCAAATATAAGTAATTTATCATCCCTCCTTTTCTAACTTTTGATTGTTGCATCAAAACCCCATAGAAGACTTATATTGTCTAATTTTCTTATCTCGTGTAGTCTTTTAAAAATCACACCTTCTCGATGAGTTATTTCTTCACAAATCTTTAAATCCAAAGAAGTAATTTTACTGGATAAACACTCTGATACCACTTGTTAAAATATTATGTGAGATGTTTGTACTACCATAAAGTCACCAAAAGAACATAAATATAATTATATCATTCTTAAGAACTCTACTTTTATATAACACACAACATGAGGAAGAAAATATTAGAAATTTTCTTATAGTAAGATAACAATTAAACACTTAGGGTATGTTTGGTATGAATGAAAATATTTTTCGGAAAATATTTTCTAATTTTTTCATGTTTGGTTGGTTTAAATATTTTGAAAAATATTTTTCTCATTAACTCATTTTTCTCCAATTGGAGGAAAATATTTTCCCTATCAAACCACCACCCACTCAAGATAAAATAAGTGATAAAACCATTCATTTTTCATGAAAATATTTTATAGAAAAATATTTTCTTTCGTACCAAACACACCTTTAAACCCTCAAAAATTTCAAGGAAAGAGGTGGGGAAGAGATGATTCTATTTCACAACTTGAATGTCTCAAAATGGCTAGAATACATGGGTATTTATAGGTCATGAATAGCACCATACATCTAGCCTAGAATACATGCACCTTTATTTAGTTTAAGAATTCACTTTTTTTAAAGTAACATGAACAAAACCATCCACCAATATATGCGCCTCTTAAATCAATACATTTCATCTCCAATTCATGAACTAAAATAAATAATTAAAATGCGCAAACAAGTTTAATTTAATATTTCAAAAATCTAACGTCATTTTGCATTTACATTATCTTCTACTATTATTATTAATATATTTGCTTAAGCCTAATCTTACTTAAATGAATGGATTAATAGCTTGTTGCTCCATGATTACATTATAATTATCCCTTTATTCTAGTGCTGCAAAAATGTTTCGTGTGAACCTAATATTAGCATGGTTTTTAGTTAAATTTAGCTGCTTTAATTGTTTTCTTGGTTATTAAAGCTCCCTACATCCGACAATTATAAATACTTTTTTGGGCTAAATTTTTTGAAATATTGAGCTATATCTGCCGTTGTCATTGAAATCATGTAAGTTTATGTTAACACTTGTGTATGGATATTACCAAAAATAATTCTTGTTGCGAACAAATATATGTCATTATTTTGAAATTAGAAAAATATTCACTTATATATACTTATGAATAATTCTTAAATAATCACATTTTCTTTTCAAAAATTGAATGATATTCTCGGATGAGTTCTGTAGTATTATATTGAAATAAAACAAACCTTTTGTTTACCCTTAAAATTGGATAACAATTAAACTTATAATGAGATTCTAAGGATACGAGATTTCACTTAATATCAATTGATAAATATGAAGATTAATAATAGAAATAAACTATAAAGTAAAGCAAATCAGTGTTAGAATGGAACTCAGCCCTCAAGTTTGGATACCCTTGAACTGGTTGATGCAAGAACAATTAAAATATAATAAGTTGATGAACAATAGTATAAACGAGAAAGAGAATTATATTGCTTTTTATATCTATGAACAATGTTCTTTACAAATGATTAGAACTCCTATTTATATAGTAGAGGAATTCCACTTATGGTATAATTCTAATTACAGAAGGAAATCCCATGATTAGCTAATTAACCATTTCTGATTTGATCTGTTCCGAGATTTATGCCATGATCCTAGACCAGCCACGGATATCTCGCCTTTCTATTATTGTGCTATCTTTGATCTTGCTCGATATTTGTCTCATTTGGTTTCGATCGCTACTAGCCTCGATCTTGACAGGTACCTCGATTCTGAACTCGGTACCTTATCCTCGTGATTTAGTCTATTCCGTTACCAGGCCATCCTTCAATGCAACCTCCCAGTCTCGGTCAAATAGTAGAATCGGGTGGGCCTGGATTCAACAGTATATAGATAGTCCCCTCATTTTTTGGAGTGTAATGACAAGAAAACGAATTGAGCCTTCGATTTTCTACCTCGACCTGTCATGACGCCATCCTCGTGACGGAAGTGACCGGAACGTCCCGTCGATACAGTTTTCCAAGTCATTAATGAGTGTCAGTTGGCGGTCGGCCACTAGTGTCTTTGAACCGTCGCCGTGAATCCAATAAATAGGCCCCTTTATCATTAATTCAAACTTTACTTTTACTTCCTTCTAATCTCTAAAACTTTTATATCTCTTAAGTTCTTTCCTTCTACAAATCTTCAGGTTTTGCTGTCACGACCCAAAAATTCCACCACAGGCGTCGTGATGGCACCTAGTCTCTAAGACTAGGTAAGCCGATTTTAATTATATTTTTGGTGCCATTTTTTTTTAATTAAATAAGTAACCAAAACTAACAGCGGAACAAATATGAATGTACAACCTCCCAAGACTGGTAGTACTGAGTCACGAACTCTAACTGAATACATGGAATGCCACCCTTATCTCTCCAAAATAACAACTCACACAACACAACAATTTACACGAAAAATTATCACAACAACATAATAAAATCAATTCATATCACAATTTGCCCAATGGCCACAACCAAATTCCAAAGATATAACAAAATTAATTAATTTCACAACAAATAGCCCAAGGCTCCACACAATGTATATAACACCCAAAAATAATTAATAGAGATAGAAATTACTCAGCATAAAGCAAAACCTTCATTAATGCAAATTTAGATAATTATATTAACACTTATTCTTAAGCTCGCTTAAATTAATTATTTGCATAAGAAAATTCATTTTGGAATTTATTTCCAAGAAATATTAAACCAACAATACTCACGAAATTTCATAAATATTTCAAGTAACAATCACATCAAATTCTCATATAACAACATATTCAACAACAACAAGGATTTAGGCACGACAAATAGATGATTAAATATATACCAATCAATTACCCAATTTACCACACAATATGCTCAGAACTTTAACTCAATAAAATTTACACATATAAGCCGAGTACGTACTCGTCACCTCGCATACACGACTTTTCACATTTCACAAATGGCACATAAGACTCGATGTCTAAGGGGTACTTTTCCCACTCGAGGTTAAGCAAGACACTTACCTTTTTGAAGTTATGCCGATATTCCAAAATCGCCTTCTTGTTTGAATTGGCTTCCGGACCGCTCAAATCTATTCAAATCAGTTGTATAACTTCATTAAAATTCATCGGAAACAATTCTGAATAATAAAACATCGACTTAGAAATTTATTCCAAAAAGTCAACACGGGGCCCGCCCCTCAGAACCCGACATAATTTTCATGAAATCCGAATACCCATTCCGATACGAGTTCAACCATACCAATTTTATTGAATTCCAATAACAAATCGACCTCCAAATCTTAAATTTAAACCAAGAGGATTTTCTAAATTTTGCAACCCAATTCACTAATTTAGTGATAAAAACAAGAATAGATTCATGTAATTTAACCAAAATCAAGTTAGGAATTCTTACCCCAATATTTTTCTTGAAAAACTCTCAAAAAATCGCCTCACCCGAGCTTTCTTGGTCCAAAAATAGAAGAATGACACGAATTTGAACTTTATTCTACTGCCCAGGGGTTTGTTCTTCGCGTTTGCGAGACTCCCCTCGCGTTCGCGATTAACAAATTCTTCAAAGGTCATTTTCAAACTCTTCTTAGACAGCCTCTAGTATAATGGTCATAACTTTTTGTACAAAACTTCAAATGATGAATGGTTTAATATTCTGAAAACTAGAGTCCAATGGCTATAACTTTCATTCATTTCTCATCTCTCAATTCCTTATAGATTACGAGATATAAGCTTCCAAAGTCAGCCTTGTGCAACAGAGATTTCCAAACTCTTCCCGGATAGCCTATAGTATATCTACCATAACTTTTTGTACACAACTCCAAATTATAAATAGTTTACCTTTCTGAAAAACACAAAGGGCTACAACTTTCATATTTGGATCGTCTCTAAATTCCTTATAGATTGTGATATATGAGCCTCTAAAGTCATACGACGAACATCAAAATTCCCTTCTTCGCGAACGCGAAGAACAAAGTCCTAACAGTAAAATCGTTCTTCGCGAACGCGAGAGGCTCCTCGCGAATGCGAAGAACAATACCAGAACCAGCAACCAACAGCATCAAAACACCCAAACTTGATCCGGAACCACCCCGAATCAAACCCGAGGTCCCCGAGACCCCGTCTAATCGTACCAACCAGTCCCAATACATAACATGAACTTGCTTGAGGCCTCAAATCACATCAAACAACATCAAAGCCACGAATCATACCCCAATTCAAGCCTAATGAACTTTAAAATTTCAAATTCTATATCTTGTGCCGAAACACATCAAATCAATATGGAATGACTTCAAAT